ATGAATAAATATTTAAAAAAAGAAAGGAAGAAAAGATGTTCAACTACACTAGGCGGATATAAATTAAAACACCAAGGATAAATTATTTTCTGGCCAACAGATTAGCAAAAATAAAAGACTGATGCTATCAAATGTTTAAAGAGCCTGGGAAAAATGGATATTATTACACACTGGCATGTAGAGGTAACTGCTACACTGTATCTGACAATGAAAAACTGGAAACAATCTATGGCTTCTCACACACTGTACAATGGTGACATGTTATGCAACTTATCCCAGGAGTCTAAAATCATGAAAATGCACATGACAAAAAACTACCCATGGATTCCAAATTTTTTGTACCAAGAGAAACTTATCTTTTAATTAAAATTTTCCATGAACCTTTTGAAATACCTTCATAGAGCAAGCAAAAAAGAGAAGTATGTGTTGACAGAGAAAGAATGGCAAGACCCATTTTTAAGCATAAAATCACAAGTTGCAGAGTATGTATAATATGCCATATTTGCAAAAATGGGCATTTGTACAAGCTTAACACAAAATCTTATCAACATGTACCTTATATGTGCACACCTGTCCATAAATGTAAAGAAAGAGAAATAGAAAAATACACTCCAATGGATAACAGTTCTCGCTTTGAGGGACGGAATTGGTAAAGAAGATGGAGACGGAAGAAAAAATAGATTAAAAGGGATCTGTCTTGTTCCAAAATTGTATACGAATTTTTTATAAGACTGAATCATGGACCATACTTAAACAAATACAAAAAGTGAATGCATTTTTCAAACAAGCACAGCTTAACCATATATATTTTTTCTTTTTTCTTTCACTTAACCATACTTAATCATCCTTTTCCCCTACTAAACTCTCGTCTCCCGCAATTCCTTATCCGGATAATTAATAAAAATCTGTCGGTGCAATTCTTGCCATCCTTGTAATACAACTAAGAAAGTACAAATTCCCATAATTTCGTGTTTTCAAGGGGGAGTTTATAAGGGAGTTTGAGCCTTGCGGTCTTAAAAAAAGCTTAGAAAGGCTGGGGTTGCCTGTATTTTAATGAACAGGTGTCAGTCTCATAATAATGATTAAGGTCCTCGTTGGTGACCTAGGTCGGGGATGTGAAAGGAGAGACAGGTGGCTCCCATCAAGGCCCAGCGCAGCAGGTGTGGGCTGAGCGCAACGAGGTCCCAGGAACCCAGGGAGGTCTCGGAGGCTGCGCGGCCCGGCACTCACCTGCCGCTGCGAGCGGGGCCTCCCTCCCGGCTGAGGGGTCAGGACGCCCCGACAGTTTGCTAGATGCTCCTGAGGCGGCACGGAGGGGCGACCGAGAAGGGCGTGGGGGTGGGGCGGGAGGCGGGCGCGGACCGCAGTGACAGCCCTTTTCGCGCACCTGGGTACCGATCCGCCCCTGCCGCGGGTGAGGGGGCCGACGAGCGAGGAGAGGGACGAGACCCCCAGGCTCAGGGCTCGGCGGGGTCTCCGCAGCCAGGCGCCCCCGCACGCGCGGACATCCCTTGCTCCACGACCCCTCTCGACCCGCCCCCTCCTCCGCGCGTACAGTCCCGGTGAGAGGACCCGCCGGCCTCTGGGCTACACTTACCTGCGGCCTCGCACCCGGCCCGAACACCTGCGGCACCTCACCCTGCGGAGATGGAACCTCCGTGGCCGCCTGCGCGCTCCCACCCGGATCCACTAGGCTCGCAACCACTTCCGGCCCGGTGGCCGGCCGGGCGGATGGGCCCCCAGCGGCGTGTGCGGAAGGGCGATGCCATCTTGTACGGATGCTGCGGGGGCAGCGCTGGGTTCTCGGGTGCGGAACAAAGGGTTTGTTTAGCTTGCAGAGGCTTTATGAATCTTCCGAAGAGTGGTTCTTAGGTTTCTGGGGGTGATACTTTGGACTTGCGGTTTAGGTTTTGAAAAGAGACTCGTCTAGAACACTGAACAAATGCAGTTCGGGACATCTGATTTTCATTATCCTGGGTAGTGTTTCTGCCCTACATTAATTTTCTCAACTGTTAGATGACGGTAAGTAGGAGGAGACACACTGTTTAAGTGATGTAGGTCTTGTTAGCTGTAGCCACTGTGATCATTTATGCCGTCTTCATAACAATAACCACAGGGCCTTCTGTCTGTATATTAAGTCCGCAAATTCCCAATAGCCTCTATTAGCAACTGTTATACGTGAGGCAACTAATGTATGCCTACAGTGTTCCGTTGTCGTGGAGTGTGGAAAACAGGAGAAATGGGATGTGCGTAAATAACCAGTATAAAGTATACCAGCTGACATTTGCTAACTGTGCTCACAGGATGCTAGAAAGTTCGTAACGCGTTTTATCTCATTTAATAAGAAACATACTGCCCTCATATAATTTTGTCTCTAATGCAAAGAAAAAGGATCTAAGTTCTGTTAGGTAAGTACCGATAAGCGGAGAATTTCCAGCAAATACAGAGAGTTAACCTACCCCCCCCCCGGCATTTTTGGTTATACCTTCTTGAAAAACCAACAAACAATACAGAGGAATGCAAATTATAACCACAGTGAGATTTGTAACCACCAGAATGGCTAAATGAAAGACAGAAAATACCAAGATCGTGGTGTTACGTTGTGAAGGGCATGAAATGGGAAGAGCGTTAACACCAGTGCTGGGGATGGGGATGTTGGGCTGACTCAAAGTTAAGATCTGACAATGCCCAGATCTCTAAACCTCCAGTGTCACCGGAAGCTGCCCTCCTACCCTCCCTAAAGGCCCAGCAGTAGCATCATTTGAAGGATGCCTTTTCCTCGGTTCTCTCCAACAAGCATTGTTACTTGTAGAACAGGGTTTCTCAACATGCTAGGCTGGGTAATTCATTTTTTAAAAAATATTTTATTTACTTATTTTTGAGAGGTAGAGTTATAGACAGTGAAAGGGAGAGAGAGAGAAAGGTCTTCCATCTGCTGGTTCACTCCTCAGTGGCCAAAGCTGAGCTGATCCGAAGCCAGGAGCCAGGAGCTTCTTCCGGGTCTCTCACGTGGGTGCAGGGGCCTAAGTGCTTGGGCCATCTTCTACTGCTTTCCCAGGCCACAGCAGAGAGCTGGATAGTGCCCATATGGGATACTGGCACCACAGGCAGAGGATTAACCTACCGCGTCACAGTGCCAGCCCCGGGTAATTCTGGTTAAGGAGATGTCCTGTGTGTTGTAGGATCCTTAGCAGCCTTCCTGACCTCTACACACTAGATCCAGCAGCACGTTTCCCTAAAAGCTATGACGGATCACAAATGTCTCCAGGCATTTCAAGTGTCCATTCAAGAAATCCCCCCAGTTGAGAACCACTGCTCTAGATCCATAACCAGGATTACATTTCAGCATGTTCCTAAGTCTGGGGAGAAATAACTTAAACTTTTTTTTTTTTTTGAAATATTTATTTAGGGGCCGGCATTGTGGAGCCATTGGTTAAGCTGCCACCCAGAATGCCAGCATTCCATATGAGAGCTGGTTTGAGTGCCAGCTGCTCCACTTCCAGCTCCCTGCTGATGCACCTGTGAAGGCAGTGGAAGTTGGCCCGAATGCTTGGTCTCCTGCCACCCGTGGGAGACCTGGACCAGCAGATGGGAATTCATTCTCTCTCTAACCCTTCCTCCCCGCCCCACCCCTCTGCCTCATTCTCTCCATCTTGCAGACAAATGGTTCACTCCCCGAATGGCCTCAACAGCTGGAACTTTGCGAGCCTGAAGTCAGGATCCAGGAACTCCATCCAGGTTTCCCACGTCGGGGCCAGGAACTCAAGTACTTAATCCATCATCCTCTGCTTCCCAGGCACATTAGCAGGTAGCTGGATTGGAAGCAGAGCAGCCAGGACTCAAACTGACACTCTGGTGTGGGACAGACAGCAGCTTAAACCACTGCACTACAGCACCAGCTCTCTACACTTACTATTTGTAATATTTTACTAATTTATCTGCAAAGTGTGAAGAAAATGTGAAAGACTGGGTTGTTTTCTTCTCACAGAGGAAATAAGACTAGGAAGATAGAACACTCTGCTTCCAATCCTGCTTCCTGCTAATGTGCACCATGGGAGGCTCAGGTGATGACTCAAGTACTTGGGTCCCTGCCATCCACGTGCCTCAGGACATGTGCACTTACAGTTTCCTCTGCTTAGACTGCTCCTCCCCAGATACACACAAGGACTTCACTTCTTTCAGATCTTCATTCACATGTGATCTGTCTCAGCGACACATCCTTGACCACCCTATTTAAACTCCATGGTATTTATCATCATCTAACATGTATTTTACTTGTTTACCTTAGTTATCTTCTGTGCCTCCCAGCTCCTTTAGAACAGAAGCTCCTTGAGGGCAAGGAGTGTGACCTGTTTTGCTCACTGCTGGATCTCCAGTACATTGAATAGTCTGGACACTCAAGGAATACTTGCTGAGAGTGGACATTTATCCAAGTGAGTTAGATGAGCATGCTTGCCAGCTCGGGGGAAAGAGCTGGTAGGTGGTGGAGTGGATTAACACCCAGGAGTGGGGCTGGTGCTGTGCAACAGTGGGCCAAACCACCGCCTGTGACTCTGGCATCTCGTATGAGCACTGGTTGGAGTCCAAACTGTTCCCCTTCCAATCTAGCTCGCTGCTAATGCACCTGGGAAAGCAGTGGAAGGTGGCCTGAGTGCTAGGGACACCCAGATGGAGTTCCAGGCTCCTGGCTTTGGTCTGGCCCAGACCTGGCCACTGTGGCCCTTTGTGGGGTAAACCAGTGAATAGAAGATAGATCTGTCTCTCCCTGTCTTTCTGTAACTCTGCCTTTCAAATGGATAACTGTGCAGGAAGGAGAGCAGGTAACTGACAGAATGTGGCCCCTGGGGAGACAAAATCAGATGATGCTGGAATCAGTCTTCTGGTGGGGAGACCCGGATGCCTCTGCGATCCCTGTGAAGTGGCTAGGAGGGCGAGCTGAAGTCAAATGCCTAGGGCGTATGCTTGTTGGTGGGAGTTTAGGAAAGGTGTTAGGGCCTTACCAACAAAACGCTTTTATCTGCTCCGCACTCGTCCCCTGAGGTGTTGTTATCTCCACTTCCCCATGTGATGCCACTTTACAGATCTGGAAACCAAACCACAGTGATTCCATGATTTGCACAGCTGATGAATGATGGAGCCGTTTTAGGAAATTCTAACCCGGGCCTCTCTGGCTTCAGTGCACTGGCTCTGTCTAGGCCTCCTGTTCCTCTGCATTGACAGGGAAGTTGCCCGAGCTACCCCCATCTAACACATTGGGCCTGTGGAGGCATCCAGGTGTGCACAGTGATCCACTGGGGGGTTAGAAGATGATGTTGGATTCCTGTTTACAGTTGTTAAGCCTAAAAAGAAACTCAGCTTTGCTAATAAACAGATAGATGTTGGCATCCTTATTTGGTCCACATGCCAGCTGGTTGTGAGTCATTCTGATATCTTTTTTTTCTTAACTTATATATTTATTTGAAAGGCAGAGAGAGAGAGAGATAGAGAGAGACAGAGAGAGACCTTCCATCTACTGGTTCACTCCCCATATGCCTGCAATAGCCAAGGCTGGGCCAGGCAGAAGCCAGAAGCCAGGAACTCCTTCTGGGTCTTTCACATGGGTAGCAAGGACTCAAGTATTTGAGCTATCATCTGTGGCTTCCCAGGTGCATAAGTGGGGAGCTGGATCTGAAGCAGAGTAGCCAGGACTTGAACTGGCACAGAGATACGGGGTGTAGGGGTCCCGTGTGGTGGCTTAGCCCTCTGCCAATGCTACAGCCCCCGTTCTGATATCAGGAGAGACATTGGGGTCCTGCAGTGTCGATGGAATGATAATGATGCTCTCCTATATGGCGTTTTTTTGTGCATAAGGGCTGATATCAATGTGTTAGTTTTTGTAGAAATGAGACTTTTCCACAGCAGAGTCTTTCTAATACAGTAATTTGTGAGAAATGGTGATTGATGATGAAAATATTTGGCTTGACTCAGAGTTTTGCTAAGTCTTTCTGCTAGAGTATTAAAATAGTTGTCAGAATCTATAAATAACTCGTACTTTTCTTTTGCAAAAAGACAAGCATTTGAACTTTGCTGGCTTTTTTTGATGATAATAAGGCAGCTGTCAGCATTCTGCTATTTTACGAGTACCAAGAAACAATATTTTAAAGCTTCCTTCAAGGTAGAGTTTACATTTTGATAAGTGATAAAACAACTGCTTTTTGAGAGCCATTGTGAAGGAATATTTTAAAAAATGATATTTGGAAGTGTTTCCATCTCAGCATAATTTTTTACCAAAAATATCTGTCACATAAAAACACTGGCAACAGTTTGCTACTGCATTTAAGAATCTTCAAACAAAAAAGAGATCATTGGATTTTAAGTATTTGCATTTGTTTAAAACATAAAAATATATTATTTTCTCATCAGCTGCTAACACAGCTGATTGATCTCATAGAATATAAAAAAATAGCTAAATTTCCATAAAAACCTTCACAAAATTGATGAGACTGAAAATTAATTTCATTATTAAGTAAGCCCAGTCAATGGTTCTCCATTTGGATCCTTTATATTTTTGTCAGGTTTATTCCCATTAACACCAAGTCATGTATGTGTGTGGGGGGACAGCACTGCAGTGCAGAGGGTTAAGTTGCAGGTTGGAGTCCTGGCTGCGCTGCATCTAATCTGGCTCCTTGCCAATGTGCCTGGGAAAGCAATGGAAGATGACCCAGTACTTGGGACCCTGCCACCCCTGTGCAAGACCACAGTGGAGCTCTTGGCTCCTGGCATTGGTGTGGCCCAGATCTGACTATTTCAGCCACTTGGGAGCTCACCAGCAGACAGAAGAAGATCGACTTCTCTCTCTCTCTTTTTCTCTCTCCTTCTTTCTCTTTCTCTCATTCTGCCTTTCAAATAAATAAATAAACCTTAAAAAAAAAAAAGATGAATAATGTAGATGGGCATTTGGCACAGAAGTTAGAATGCCACTTGGGGCATCCACATCCCAAACTGGAATACCTGGGTTGCCACTTCAATTCCAGCTTCTGGCTAAGGGGCACCCTGTGAGGCAGCAGGTGATGGTACACGTGTTTGGATCCCTGCCACCATGTGAGAGATCTGGATTGGTTTCTGGGCTCCCAGCTACAGGCTGGTACAGTCCCAGCTATTGCATGTATTTTGGGGGGGGTGAACTAGAAGATAGAAGAGCTCTCTCTGTCTCTCTATAAATTAATTAATTTTTAAAAAAGTAATGAAGGGGTTTGGCATTGTTGTAAGGCAGGTAAAGCTGCTGCCTATGACACTGGTATCCCAAATAGGTCCCTGCTCATGTCCTGGCTGCTCCACTTGCAATCCAGTTCCCTGCTAATGGTCTGGGAAAATAGCCGAAGATGACCCAAATGCTTGTGCCCCTATACCCACATGGGAGACCTGGATGGGGTTGCTGGCTCCTGGCTTCAGCCTGTCCCAGCCCTGGCCGTTGTGGCCACTTGGAGAGTGAACCAGCAGATGGAAGATCTCTTTCTGTCTTTCCTTCCCTCTCTGTAACTCTGACTTTCCAATAAAAAAAAAAATTAATGAGGTAAGGAGATCTTGGGAACAAGTCTTTGAAATCATAATATTATAGTGTTTTTTTTTTCTTTTTTAAGATGTATTTATTTATTTGAAAGGCAGTGTTACACACAGACAGAGAGGGAGAGACCAAGAGAGAGGTCTTCCATCTGCTGGTTTACTCCTCAAATGGCCACAATTGCTGGAGCTGGGCTGATCCGAAGCCAGGAGCCAGGAGCTTCTTCCAGATCTCCCCCATGGGTGCAGGGGCCTAAGCACTTGGGCCATCTTCCGATGTTTTTCCAGGCACATTAGCAGGGAACTAGACTGGAAGTGGAACAGGCGGGACTTGAACTGGTGCCTGTATATTTCTCCAATTTCAAAAACAAAACATTAATTGCTGTTTTAAAAAAGTGGGAGCAAGGGGCCAGTGCTGTGGCGCAGTGGGTTAATGCCCTGGTCTGAAGCGCTGGCATCCCATATGGGTGCTGGTTCGAGACAGGGCTGCTCCACTTCCAATCCAGCTCTCTGCTATGGCCTGGGAAAGCAGTAGAAGATGGCCCAAGTCCTTGGGCCCCTGCACCTGTGTGGGAGAACCGGAAGAAGCTCCTGGTTCCTGGCTTTGGTTCGGCGCAGCTCCAGCCATTGCGGCCATCTGAGGAGTGAACCAACGGAACTAAGACCTTTCTTTCTGTTTCCCCCTCTCACTATCTTTCAAATAAATAAAAAATCTTAAGGAAGGAGGGAGGGAGGAAGGGAGGAAAAGAGAGAGAGAAATAGAGTAGACACAGTAGGTTAATCCTCTGCCTGCGGCACCGTCATCCCATATGGGTGCTGGGCTGGACCAGTCCCACCTGCTTCTCTTCTGATGCAGCTCTCTGCCACGTGGGAGACCTGGAAGAAGCTCCTGGCTCCTGGCTTTGGATTGACCCAGCTCCAGCCGTTGTGGCTATTTGGGGAGTGAACCAGTGGATGGAAGACCTCTCACCTTTCCCTCTCACTTTACCTCTCAAATAAATAAATACAATTAAAAAATAAAAGAGCAGCTAGGTCTTGAACTGACACCTACAAGCGATGCCGGTGTTGCAGGCGCAGGCTTAACATACTACAGCACAGTGCCAGCCCCCATTCTTTAATTTTAAAACATTTTTGTGATTTTAAAAGTGTACATAATAAAGTAGGACTTATATGAACATAATGTACAAATAATATGGGATGTATGTTTAAAAATGTTTCAAGAAGGGCTTCTGATAAAATGACCTAAAGAGTATTGACCAAACAGAAGTTCTTCAACTTGAACACCATTTACGCGTTGGGAGGCACAGGGCTTTGTTGCAGAGCTGTTGGGCAGCATCCCAGGCCTCAGCCGCTAGATGCCAAAGCAGGGCCCTGCCCTTCCACACAGTGTGACAATCAAAAAACCTCCACGGGCGGGCATTTGGCCCAACTGCATCCCGTATCAGAGTGCCTGGGTTTGTGTACTGGCTCTGCTTATGTTTCCAGCTTCCTCCAAATGTGCACCCTGGGAGGCAGCAGGTAAGGATTAAATTTCTGGACCTGTACCACCCACATGGGAGACCTGGATTGAGTTCCTGGCTCCTGGCTTTGGCCTGGTCCAACTCTGGCTGTTGCAGGTATTTGGGGAGTGAACCAGCAGATGGGAGTTATCTGTTTTTTAAAATTAAAAAAAAAAAAAAAAGAAAATAAAGGCTTTGGTAGAAAAATCCTTTTCAGTTTATAGTTCATTCTATATGTGAATGATTCGTGAATTTACCTTTAAGACTCTTTCCTTTAAGAGTAGAGTTTGTTACTTCACCTTCCACTGCTGTTTCGGACTGTTTTCTTTGACTTGTACTAAAAAGAGGGGAGGTTGAGCCTACAGCTAAGCTGCTGATTAAGATGCCCGCCTCCCACATCGGAGCGCCTGGTGAGTCCCAACTCCAGCTCCTGACTCCAGACCCTTAGGAGGCAGCAGGTGATGGCAAAAGTGATTGGGCCTCTGTCACGCCTGTGGAGGACCTGGACTGCCTTCCCAAGCCCCCAGCTTTGGCCAGCTCCATCTGTTGTGGGCATTTAGGGAGTGAGCCAGTTGATGGGATCTCTTCCTCTCTTCCTCAAGTAAATAATGATAGAAAAGACAGAGAAGGGAAAGAGTAAGAAAAAGCCATGTTCTTTGTGATCCATGCCACTTACTCACCCTGCTCTTTTGCTCATCTCATCTGTATCTGTCACGTCATGTATATCACTTCTGTCACCCGCCCTGTTCAGTCCATTACTCCTCTCCACGAAAGTCCTGCCATCATCCTGGGTAAGAGTGACAGTGAAAAGATGACCCATGCATGAGTGGCCTCAGGGCTCATTTCCCTGACCCCCTAGACCCCTCTCCCTAACTCAATCTAAGGAGTCCACCCCTAGGCACCCCCTCTCCCTAAGCCCATCTAAGCAGTCCACCCCTAGGCACCCCCTCTCCCTAAGCCCATCTAAGCAGTCCACCCCTAGGCACCCCCTCTCCCTAACCCCATCTAAGCAGTCCACCCCAGCACTCCTTGGGCCCTGGCATCACCTGTAACTACCACCTCTAGAACCTCTCATCCATTTTTTTTTTTGGGGGGGGGGGCTGCAAACTTCTCTCCTTCCAACTTGCTTGTGATGGCGTCTGGGAGGCTCTACCCCAAAATGTAGCACCTCTGGGTGTTGAATATAGTCAACGGAAGGAATTTGAGAGGATGACAAATCAGGGAGGTCACTTTAAAAAAAAGATTTATTTATTTGAAAGGCATAGTTGTTACAGAGAGGCAGGCAGAGAGAGAGAGAAAAGAGATGTCTTCTATCTGCTGGTTCGCTCCCCAGATGGCTACAATGGCTGGAGCCGCACTGATCTGAAGCCGGAAGCCAGGAGCTTCTTCCGGGTCTCCCATGTGGGTGCAGGGGCCCAAGGATGTGGGCCATCTTCTGCTGCTTTCCCAGGCCATAGCAGAGAGCTGGATCAGAAGTGGAGCAGCCAGGACTTGAACGGGCACCCATATTGGATGGTGTGCCGGCACTGCAGGTGGTGGCTTTTACCCACTACGCCACAGCACCAGCCCGCAGGAGGTCACTCTTAACTTTCTCCTGCTCTCTCCCCCAAGGCAAGTCCTTAAACCTAGAAAAGATTTCCTAACCTTCCCCTGAAGCAGGTCACCAGACCCTTATTAGAGAGGTGCCCTCCCCAATCCCAAGGAAATAAGCACCCTCAACTCTGAAGACCAAGGACACAGAGAGGAACCTGGATACACAGGTCTGGCTAAGCACCCTCTGGCCTTTTTTTATTTTAAAGATTTATTTTATTTTACTTTATTTGAAAGACAGAATTACAGAGAGAGAGGTCTTCCATCCACTGGTTCACTCCCCAGATGGCCGCAACAACCGGAGCTGAGCTGATCAGAAGCCAGGAGCCAGGAGCT